GCGTTGTTGGCTCGGTGCCCGGGGGCTCGCCCCGCCCCGCCGTGTCCCTTTCCCCTCCCAGCCCTGTTGCGGGCCGGCACCGCGCGTGTCCCCGGGCGGCTCCTGGGGAGGCGGGAGCACGCTGCCCGGGCCCCACTGCAACCCCCCCTGCCTGCCCTATGCGAGCGCCCCACCCCCGCCCCCCCGTGTGACACAGGCCGCGGCTCCTGTCTGGCTCCTCACTCAAGTTGCCCACGAGCAGGGGATGACTTGGGGTCTGTAGTCTGCAGTTACAAGACGCTGCCCTGCTTGGCTCTGGTTGGGAAGTGGGAAGATGGTATTGAATGGGGAAGCCTCTTGCTCAAGCTGATTACTTGAGTTTGTGTTTAGGTTTGGTGCGGTCAGCTGCTGCGATTGACACCGATCTCCACCGAGTGAGTTCCTCTAGGACAGTGGTTCCCAAACCTTTTTTAAACCGCAGACCAGAAGTGACCGTGGGCCGGCAAACTGCAGTCCAGAAGTGACCGGCATACTGCGGACCTGCAGCCCTTTTTTATATACCCTTTTTGATACCAAATATGCCGGTTGCTTCCGGACTTCGAGTGCGGCAGCCAACTCTCCTACAGACCGGCAGCCAACCCTTTGTAGCCCCAGTGCTGCGGGCCGGGGTTGGGAACCTCTGCTCTTGGATGGTGGTTTTTATAGGGGTGCACCGATAAAGATTTTCTTGGCTGATACCGATGGTTGATTATTAACCAGCCATATTGGCCGTAGGGGTTGCCAACTCTGTTTGAATCTATTCCGGGGGGTTTCATCACAGAATGGATTACCGTGTGTTGACTTTACATCAGAAAGGCAAATGCACGTTATTTTTACATTTTAAAAACCCACCGGACAACTGTATAAATCAGATTCAACATTTAATATTTATTTTAATAAATTCCCTATCATTGATTTCCCGGGTGACTCAACAGTCTCCTGGAAATTTATGTCTAATTCCTGGAGACTACAGGGTGATCCTGGAAGGTTGGCAACCCTAATCGGCCAACACTGATCCGATAACCAATATTAACTGCAGGTTGAGTCGCACTGGGCCAGGCCAGGCAGCTCAGCTCCACCCTCCCCAGTCACATCTGTGGCATTCAGTGCCTCTTACAGCACCCATCCTGCCCCTGCCTGCAGTCCGCTCCATGCTGTGCCACACCAGCACCCAGGACACGACGGCAGCTGCTCCGCTCCAGCCCAGCCCAGCTCACTGGTGAAGGGATGGGGGTATCTAGGGTCACCCTGGCTTCCGGGACAGAATCCAGGCATCCAGGGGCCCCGACCAAAAGGCATAATTATCAGGGAACATTATAAACTACAACCGCCAAAAAAAGCCAATAGCTGATCGTGTAAATTTCGCTTTTCTTGGTGCCAGTCCAAAAGGCACCTGATATATCGGTGCACCTCTACTACTTTAGACTCAAGGCCTCCCTCCATAGGCTCAAGGGCCCTCTCTGAAAATGCCAGCTCTTAGTTTTCACTCCGTTTCTATGGAAAAATAATAGAGCAATTCCTCTGTGACAAAAACTCAAAAAGACCCAAACAGGTCCGTATGTTTTTCATGCTGTGTAAATTTCAATTTAAAATCTCTGGCATTAGCTTGTGAACCATGTTCACACGTGTAACAGTGCATGATACCCCACAGCACCCTGAAAGGAGCTCGGCCTCCTGTGCCTGGAGGGAGATGTCTTCAGTTCTGTCAGTTTACTAAGTGGAGGCATCTGTATATGAGGTGATGCACATTAAGGACCTGCAAATTCTGTTGAAGCAAACTGAAATAACACTTGCATTGGTAACCTAGTATCCAGAGATGGAGCCTTAGGAGGGAGAGAAAACAAAACAAAAACTTCCTCCTCAACAGAAGGTTTAATCTATCTGTCTGCCTGTCTGTCCATAACACTTTATTCACACTCTGATTGGCTGACTGAAACAACCAATCAGACTGCAAATACAGTGTTGGGACAGGAGGTGGCACCATGGCAGAGCATTGCCATGATGGTGGGGACAGAGGGGTTGACCCCGAGCCCACTTCCTGTGGGGGGGGCGGGCGATGCCACCGAAGGTGGCCTGGCCCCAGCCCCTTGCTCCTTGGAGGCGGCGGCAGCGGGTGGGGGGGGCGAGCAGGGTCGGGATGCGCTGGTGCACACCTGTACCTCCCCACTTCCTTTCTTGCTGCTTGCAGGGCCAACACTCCTCCTCAGGCCTGGGCCCTCTCCTCCCCCACCCCTCACCCCTGCATCAGCCCCGAGCCCACTCCTCCCATCCCCCTGCCACCACTGTTGGCCCAGGCCTACTGCTCCCCGCCCCACCGCCATGGCGGGCTGGGTTTTCCCCCATCCTTGGGCTCAGTCTTCCCCCACACCCCCTGCATCCGGCCCAGGTCTGCTTCTCCCCTCCCCCCACTGCTGCAGCAGGAAGGGGGGGAGTGGACCCAAATGCGGCAAGGGGTGGACACCGTGCTCTGTCCCCGCCCCCTCATGCCCCCCTCCCCATGTCATTCTTGATGGGGAATTGGCTAGTTGATGATATAAATGTAAGTCTTAGCTGACCAGTTCAACTTACATGCATAGAATGGGTCAGAACACATGGAGAGCTCCCTACATGATCATTCCCTCGGATTTCTCTCTTTTCTGAGATAATTAGTGATTTATTTGTTAAATAAATTGAGAAACTTCTTCCTTCACATCTTGTGTGCCATCTGATGCATATATCTTCTCTTCAAGCACTTAAGTAACTTCCCATTCCAGGCAGGGACAACAATGAATGGGACAGGAACATTTTGATTTCAAGAGAGAAAGTAACATGCGAGGCCTGCAAAACTCTGCATCCCTTCACTAAGCCTCCTGTTCTTAAGAAAATTATCTCTTCTGGCTCATCTACACAATGTCTTTATGTTATTGGTAGCTTTACGAGTGCTGTATAGATTTTTCTCTCCCCTTGCTTGGTAGTAATTTCACAAATCATTGGCAAGATACTGTATGGGAATTTGCCATAATATGCTTGGCACCATTATTTTGCAAAAATTAAAAAAAAATCTGCATGGATAAACAGTCTACCCTCTAAATTTGGCCTGAATTAGACATTTACAAAGACTAGAAGATCTTAGACAGAGGCATGACATTAACTCCTGTTAGTGAAATCCTGCCAGTAGCACATATTTGTAGTCACAGTTAAAGCCTGTACCACAGCATTTTCTCAGTACTAAAAAGAAACTGTTGAGCAAAAATAAGACTGTGCAGCAGTTTACTTGAGCTTATTTTTAATTGTTTAATTTTTATTACTTATCTCAACGTTGGCAGCTATTTTTTTCCTTTTAATGTCAGACTCCCAAAAGGAGGGAGCATTTACAATATCTGACCCAGCAAACCTTAGGACTTTCAGAGATGTGCTTGAGCACTCTAGTGGGTTATGGTATATATCTACATATATTCCATGTCCAAATAGGTATTTTTTATCCATTATAATAGTTTAGCATCTCATGCTGGAAGCTCTTTTGTTTTGAGTAGTTTGAAATAGTGTGATTAAATAGCACATGGCTTAAAATTGAAGATCCAAGTAGTTATACAAATACTAAGTATTATCTTAGTGGTCATTTTATTTAGATATATACACTTGACGTTTCCTGTAAATTGGGTTGATTCATACTTTTAACAGATTTCTAAGTCTGCAATAAAGTGTTCTTTTTAGTACATACTATAACAGTGAATATTCCATAGATAGCTATATATTTCTATTCCTTGGGAATGCTGTACTTCCAAAAATCATATTGGCCAGTATTTTCTGCATCATATTGCTTCATTCCATACATGCACACTGTGAAAACACCTATTACTTGTCATAATCTCAGTCTCTTCTTTGAAATAGCAACAATCACATTTGTTATTCTAGCCTCAGCTCTTCCTACTTTGAGTAGTGTGCCCACCTAAGCCTGAGGAACTGTCCCCGAGCAGCTCAGGACCAGGTGATCCACACTCAGGCTTTGTCTACCTCAGACAGTAGCATCCACCGCGCACAGTCTCCTGTGGGAAATTACCGTTGCTCGCCTGCCACATCTTGCTCTTAACGGATAATGTGGGAAGCTCCTGTATGACCCGTACTCATAAGAGAGCACTCTGGACGGATGTCCTTTGGGCTCCATGTCCCCTTCCAAGCGCCAACCTGTTGGTCACATGCCATGTGGTAGACAGTTGGGACTCCTCAGTGGTCTGGAGTACCGTCTCAACCTGATTAGACCAGTTGCAGCTCCTAGATGAGTTTAATGGCCCTGGTGGCGGCTGTAGACTGGCCAGGGTTGTTTTGTGTTTTCCCCCACCTCAATAACTTAAACAATGTGGAGGAGTGGTCTTGCTCGCCGAGACCACACCTTTCCTGGACAGACCCTTGGGTGCTGTCCTTAATAGGTTTTTCCGCCCCAGAGTCCTCGAGAGCTCCTGGTCTCTTGGCTCTGGTTTCTTTAGAATAGGAATACCTTGAAATCCAAACTTCTTTTCTTTAAATCTTTTTCACCCAATATAAGACATGGGTATAATTCTAGATTATGAGTTTCAAGTGGCAGAGTTTGTTTTGCGCACTCTCTCTCTCTCTCTCTCTCTCTACTTACCTTTATTTGTCTGGTGAAAAATGTTAATTGTTTAGCAGGCAAGCAAATTATTAAGCCTCCCTCCGTACCTTCATTACCAAAATTATGCCTATATAAATTTGTGTTTGGGCTAATAAATGTTGTTACTCTTTGTAGAAGAGACTGATGCAGTAGCATATCTTAGTCTTGGGTCTGAGTTAAGAAGCAAGAAAACTGGTCCTGTTAAGGTAGTTATTAGGCAAAAATATGTTCGTCTTAATTTAGCTCATCTTGCAGATACACCATTAGCTTTTAGAAATGTGTGTGAAAAACCTAACTGGTTTTAAGATAAAGCTCAGTGAGTGTATATACTCATATAACCTGGTTGCTTATGATAGCAAGGGACTAGATTCAGTAACCAAGGAGGTCCCCTCCATTCCTGTGTTTTTATATTATGTTCTGTATTAAAATCCATAGAGATTAGAATGTGTGGTAATATGGATATTATTATATCCTATTTGATAATCAGTGAATAATACATTATGACACCTTAGTACAGTGTTGCCTAACCTTTTAGAGTGGCAGGCCAGGTACTTGGGACCTGGCTGCACCATGGCTCACCACTCCCTGTAAGGAAATCGGGGAAGGGAAGTGGTTGCCAATGTCAGAGGGAAAGGAAAAGAGTGGGGAAGGGAGAAAGGAAGAAAGCTTATCTCTGGTAAAACAGCACCTGTGGTATGAAAGGGAGGAGCAAGGAGGTCCATGAAGTGGATCAGCCACGTCAAGGAAAAAGATACGCCAGGCAGTGCTGTTGTTGATCCCCCATACAGCAACAGAATCCAACCTGTGGGCTGTAGATTGAGCACCGCTGGGTTAATGTAATTCTTTTATAAAGGTAAAATAAAAACATGAATGGTCTTAAAGAAAAATGTACAGCATATTTTTATTCTTTTAACAAATACTTCAACTAATTATGTTTGTCCAATCCTACATATATTTGCAAGGCAGCACCAATAAGGGAACAGTTTCATTTTGACTTTGCTTGATATATTGTGACATCTCTGTATATGTAAAATAATAGTTCTCATGTTGGTAACAGGAATTTTACCATTCCCTTAAAGAAGCTAAAATTTTGCCCAGCAACTTCAGTGGGATTTCAGTGAGCCCTTTTTTTGCACATTTATTTGTTGGGCACAAAGTTAGTATTGTAAACCTCTACTATAAATAGATGTCTGATCCTGTTACTCTCATTAATTTTTACTCTCATGAATATTACAACTAAAGGAATGGGTTGCTGGCTCAGGCCCTACATTGTTATAACGGTACTTAAGTTCAGTTGGGTAGAACTCTGCAGGATCTTTTCACCATAAAAAGAGTAGTACAATATATTGTGAAAGTAATTGTAATGTGTAATATATAATTACATGTAATATGTAATTATTTCATAATAGAGAATTGTAGGAAGTATTGCAAAGGTAATTAAAATGTTGTTCACATTTACATTTTTAAATTCACTGTATCACCTTTCTTTGATTTATAAACTAAGAGAACTTAATTGTTCTTTAATGTTATACTAAAATGTAGTCTTACTTTGTTCTTGGTTTTGTTTTGTTTCTAGGTGGAGGTTTAGCTGTTGGAACCCTTCTTCTTATTGGTTAGTATGGAATGTATGAAAATATCATGTTATACTTTAATGCAGTTCCCTAGTATTTTATGTAACTGTGATACAATCTTTCTTTCTTTCTTTCTTACAGTATACATAGCAGACTTCATTTTCTTTCTGTAACAGAACTTTCATAGATGTCTTAATATTTTTTACTAAGTTATGTTTTTCCCAATGTCTTTCAATTTTTTCTCTTCAAAACTGCTAAACACAAAAGAAAAAATCTGGATCAACAGCTGGAATGCGGAGTCAATCTTTTTAAAGGCCCTCCCTCACCCCTTCCCGTCTCTCAGCTGTTGAACATCTCTATTGCACAGCTTGCAAAAAAAAAAGCAGAAAAGTTTCACTTTGAGTCTCAAGGGAAGGTGTTGGTAGGAACCTGATTCTAGCTAGCACATACACAAGGTTCAGACTGACATGGCAGAAAAGCTTGCAGAGCTCTTTGTCTCCGCTGTTTTATATGCAAGGTGTCAGGTGCTATAAATGGTGGTAGCTCCAGGAACCTTTCTGGAAACAGTGGGTTACTGAGCCTGGATGCAGCAGCAAGGAATATAGGAGTAAGTAATGCTGATGCCTTTCCTTAGGATAAGGCATACCTTTTTTCCCCCTTCTCTTTCTCTCAACCTTCTGGATTCCACAGGACGTCAGAAAAAGACAATTTTCCTTATTGAAACGTAGAGGTTGTACGCCTATAGACTATTATTTCAATCTCCCCAGTGAAACACACTTCCTCCAACCTCACCCGCCTCCCTCCCAAGCACACACTGGACCTCTCACTTTGTTAAAGGTTTGGTCCAGGCACTGCTAAAGTGTCTTTTCACAATCAGGTCTTAATGAGATACCACAGAATCATAAAGAGCTCTCATGAATGAGTCTCCCCTTTATGTTCTTTCTGAGTAGTAGTAAATCTCTAAAGTCGGGGCTTTGTGCAAGATGCTTCAGACTCACAAATAAACTCCCCAGAATTAGAGACAAGTGAGTGACTAACATCTGAGCTGCTTATGTTTTTAGAAAATGAAGCACTATCTGGAAGTGAGCCACTCCAGAAAATGGCTGGTTGGAATAAAAATAGATAAGCAGTTGAATTTGTTATTGTCCCTGAGACAAGTTTATATTTTCTCCAAAGTAAATTAAAACCAATACTATTAATGAGACATTTCACTGCATCAGAAGATAATGGCTACAGTGCCAATCTACTACATAATGAAAAAAGTCAGGGAGATGCAAATATTTTACAAAGAGCAGAAGATTCTTTGTGACCCAGGAAAACAATAACATGCAGCAAATATCACTGTCTTTTACTGAGTCTATAAGCAAATTAATATTTCATATTTCTCCTCAGAATCCAACATTACAATGTTATCTTACCAAAACTTCCCATTTTTTTTGAGACTTTCATAGTCTGGTGATCTACTAAAGATACTGTAGAGAGTCACTAAGAGCTTCTTAAACTTCTGATACAGTAAGATGTATTTTCAGTAGAATACTCTCCTGTAATTTTACATGGGTAGACAGACACCAAGCTGCCAGAGCCCTGGATATATGTCATATCATCTCTGTATTCAAGTGTAGATAGTAGGATATAGAGATGATATGATGTATATCTAGGGTTCTAGCAGTTACATATGGCTCAAAAGACATTGTTAAAAACCTAGAAAACCAGTGCTCTGAACCAACGGATACATTTGGTCCAGATTCAGTACTGACGTGTTTTGTTGAAGTAATACAGCTGGCTGATTACCAGGTCTAGAGAAGCTACTAATCAGGATAGACCTGTTCCTGTAAGGCAGGGGTCAGCAACCCCCAGCATATATGCCGAGCATAGCACTCGAGGCCACTTTGCTTGGCACATGACCGCCAGCCTGGGCTCTAGGCAGCTGCTGCCAGCCACAGAGCTGGGGCTGCTCCCAGCAAGTGGTTGGGAGGCTGCAAGCCCTGCTGCAAGCAGCCCGGGAACCATGGCTGGCAGCAGCTACCCCAGAGCGTGGGCTGGCTGCAGTCAGGAGACTGCAAACAGCTGCTGCCTCCTGCCCTGGCCGACAGGCACAGTGCTGGCACCTACTGCCTTCCCGAAGCCCAGGGCCTGGAGACGGCCAGGGCGGGGAGGCAGAAGCTGTTTTCAGCCTCCCGGCTGCAGCCTGCCTATGTTCGGGGTAGCTGCTGATAGCCACGGGACCTGGGTTGCTCCCAGCAGGCAGCTGGGAGGATGTAAGCCTTGCTGCAAGCAGCCCAGGATCCATGGCTGGCAGCAACAACCCACAGCCTAGGCCATCTGCAGCCGGGAGGCTGCAAACAGCTGCTGCCTCCCCACCCCCGGCCCCAGCACCGGGCAGGCAGCAGGTGCTGGTGATGCTCTCCACCATGCTGACCTCCCCCGCCGCCTCTGCAGAGCAGCGTGTGGAACCTGGCACAGCAGGGCACAGTGGGGAGACGCATGAAAGCTGCCTGCTGTTCTGAGGTCCCTGTTGCCCTGGCCACACTTCCCCTGCAGGTGGGGGCAGCAGCGAGGGGCACAACCCTGTGCTGCTGCCTGCGCTGCCCCCGTGCACACAGGGGAAGTGTGACCAGGGCAGTGTGGAGCTTGCAGTGGCAGGGAGCTTCCCCGTGGAACCCCTCTGTATGTTGCCGCTGGCAGGCAGCTTCCCTGTGCAGCCCTTCTGTATGCTGCCGCTCTGAGTCGCACACGCTGCACTCTGGAGGGCCCAGAGGAGGGCAGCAGGGCCGGGAGCGCAGTGTGAGAGACCCGGAGTGGCAGCGCACTGAAGTCTTATTTATTGTCACCAGGTTTACAATTTTTAGAAATCTGGTATTTACCATAAAAAGGCAACATTTATGATGATTAATTATACTAATATGCTATGCATCCTGCCATGTACCCCCTGTCCTCGTCTTTTTTTCTGGCGTGCCAGCACTCCGACACCTTCCAAGGTAGACATTGTGTTTTTTTCGACACTCCAGCCCAAAAACGTCGCCTACCCCTGCTGTAAGGTAAGAGTGTCAAACACAAAATCTGAGAAGGTGAGTCATCTGGCCTACAGGGCTCTTGTTTTGGCCTAAAAAAGTGGATCATGAAGCCCACTGGCATGGATACCATCCAGAGGTTAATGCTGCCACCACTTGTCCCGCTTTTCCCAATGCCAAATCTGAGGTTTTCAGTAACTGGTGCTACTTGAGTGAGGGGGTACCCTGGTTGGTGGCCATACCCTCAGCAGTCCTGGCAGCAGTGGTGAGAAGCCTGATGGGCTAGATGACCCATTCTTGGCTGCTGGCAAGGAATATAGCCTACTAGCTAATTTTAGCTTGACACCCCTATGCTAAGAGAATGTATCTGGACTTCTGTGTGAATCTTGGGGCGATATGGCCTAAAAAAAGTAACTGGAGTATAACTGATCTCATGCAGTTAGAGCATATGATTAATCAGAAATGCGGGTATATACCACTGCCAATAAAATAGAAAAAATGTTGCTACTTAAAAAAGTAGGGGTTTTTATGTAGCATTTTGCTCTAAAGTCAGAGTTGACTAGCTCAGCAGAACATTCTTAGAATTAAGAAAATACAGTCCAGAGCAGCGGTTGTCAACTTTTGCCAGAAGCAGACTGGAATGACCCAACTCAGGTCTAAGGTGAGCCAGTGCTATGACTCAGCTGCTGTCACTACTGCCCTCAGCTGCAGGATAGGGCATCGTGGGTGAAGCCCCCACCAGTTCTACGGGCTACGTCTGGCTCTTAACTATATAGATTGTATATCCCTGGCCTAGATCACTTAGCCTTTCAGTTCATTGTAGTCTAAGAGGCCTCCTTTATGTCTTATCATTGTCTTGTGGTAAAGATGGTCAAGAGGATTGTGAAGGAGCAGGCCACAGATATAATCACATTTCTCATGCATGATTTAGCTACAACTGGAATGTCCCCTCAAACTTGCAAAACACATATAAAACTTAGTGTGTTATAGATCTATCCTGAGTTTGGCAACATCAGTTCCTTTTGCTGCCAAACTCATCAGCTGGGAAGTTGAGAAAGAAACTAGTCATTCACTCTAAAAAGGTGATAAACACCCCCTGCCTTACTGTCTTTGACAGTGTTCTTAAATTATGGGTTTAACGGTATATTTAAACCGAAGAGTTAGATATTGGTGGTACGTGGAGCATTTGGGACAATTTAGGTGGAAAAGGACATTCTAATGTTTATTTTACAATATGCTTGACTGGGGCTCTAGGCCACTAGCACTCGTCTTGATAGACAGTTCAACAACTGTAGACATATTTCACCTGTAAGAAAAGGTTTTTTTAATTACTGTTGCATAATAGATTGTTAGTTCTCTAGCAATATGTAGATTCCTGTCTTGATCTTGGCCTGTGCTATACATCCTAATGAAACCACTTCTTGACCAGTTGACCACTTTACAGTGAACATAAACTGCCAACTAGAGACCTTCTTTTTAAGGAGGTATTTGGAGCTTTCTCTGATTCGTATGTACTCTGTGAAAGGAACAGAAATATTATGGGAAAAATGATCACATATCTTATGACGAGATCTATAAGGCTACTATAGGATGTTCCAACCACTCTTAGATACTATAGAATTATCAATCCCATATCTTGATAGTAATAGAAGGATGTTATGGACAGGGTGCCTCAGTAACTTTTAATTTTCTGTTCAGTTCTACATGGGTAAATAGAACCATCCCTCTGTAGGGTTGATTTGCTGCTTCCTACATTCCCCAGCAGAAAAACCTCTGACATGGAGGAGGTAGCCCTTCACATCAGTCTGATTCTTCCTCAGACACCAGATTTGTGAATGCTCCTTGCTTTCCCCCACCACATGTCTTGGTGGCTTGTTATGTAGTTTGAATGAGAAATGGATTTTTTTTTCCAGAAAATCACTAAATTTTATGTCAAAATTTAGTTGAAAATGGTTTGTGCTGAATAGCATTTTATGGCAGTGCACCTTTAGGTGCCTGCCACTTTAAGGACAGAGGCAGGCTGTTACCAG